GAAGTAAGTAAGTAAGTAAGTAAGTAAATAAGTGTGGAAGTAAGTAAGTAAGTAAGTTTCAGAGACGTTGATACGTACTACCAAACAATTCCATACTAGGAATAATAATTCATTCAATGCTTTCAAATTTTCAATGGTGCCCTAACCAAGATCAGCCCATAATTTAAAACATGAAGGTCTTTAATTCGATTGAGTAGAGTAACAGGAATTTCAGATAATTTCGTTAGATTCTAAACTGAACACTACTCATCATTCGAAATCATTGTACATACCTTACGTGTCATAATGTCGCCAAAATACTGGTCTGTGAAGATTCATGAAAAAAGAACCATAAGTATGAAAAAACAGACTAGGTGAATGATTTCCTCTAAAAGAAAAATCTCTTCGCTGAATTCTCTCTATTTTTATCTAATGACGAAATAGGTTATTTTAATTATGAGTGAAAGGTTGTGGAAATTGTTGAATTTCATTGAAATCATGAGCCGAGACAAGTGGAATAGGTGTAAGAAAGTTACCACCGAAGACACTGATAGATTACTTGCTTACTTAATTATGCCTGTTATCCCTCATGAAGGAACATAGATCACCTACTAGCATTCTCCATCCAGCTCTGTTTTGGATAAACCTTTCCAGTTGCTATTCATCATTGTCATATCTGTTTCCAATTCTTGGCACAGTGTGTTCCTTGGCTTTCTTCTTTTCCGTTTCCCTTTAGGATTCCAAGTTAGGGCTTGCCTCGCGATGCAGTCTGGTTGTTTTTATAATAAATATCCTGCACACCTTCATCATCTCTTCCTAATTTCCTCTTCAGATGGAAGCTGAATTGTTCTCTCCCTCAGTGGGCTGTTGCTGATTGTATCTGTTCAACGGACATTGAGCATCTTGAGTAAACAATTGTTTGTAAATACCTGTACGTTTTTGATGATGGTCGTAGTGGTGTGACTGAGTTGGTGTTCTCCGAGTTACACTTTATGACCTTGGTTTTTCCTTTGTGTATATTGAGGCTTATTGATGCAGATGCTTCTGCTACACTAGCTGTCTTGACCTGCATTTGTTCTTGTGTATGGCATAGAAGGAATAGGTCATTTGCGAAGTCCAAATAATCTGGTTGATTCCGAGCTGTCCATTGTATTCCGTGCTTCCCCTCCGATGTGGAGGTGTTCATAGTTCAGTCGAGAACCAGAAAAAAGAGAAAGGGAGAATGTAAGCAGTTTGGTCTGACTCCAGTCCTCACTTCGAATGTGTCTGTCGGCTGTCCTCCATGCATAGTTCACAGTGTATTCCATCGTATAAATTCCGGATGATGTAGAAGATTTTTTCAGGTACACAATTTTGACGGAGAAGTTCCCATAAGATTCTCTTATCTATTCTGTTAAACGCTTTCTCATAGTCAAGGAAGTTGATGTAAAGTGACAAGTTCAATTCAATTGATTGTTCCTGTGGAAAACAACCTTTCTAAAAAACACTAACAATGGAAGATGGCTGTGAAATATTGTGGATTGACTGAAGTTAAACATTAATGGATGTTGACATTGTGGTCTATGGATTAGGCGTTCTTGTGAGAGACTGAATGTTCTGGGTTCAAGTTTTGTTTTCAGGGTCTTAATGCCCACTTTCGAGGAGTCCCATACTAGGATAAACTGACGCCCCCTTTATCCAGGTTTTCAAGGGTTGTCTAACTTAGATTGGTGCATGATTTCAATGATATTGCTAAACTGCTAGTTCATTGTATTCAAATTTATTGATAGACCAAAAGTTTGAAATGACTTACTATTATTATCATTGAGGATGTCGTGTTAATGAGTGATTGGCAAATAAACCAGTCTTTTTTCCCTTAGACTTGACAAAAGTGTCATTCCAACGGAATAAGTAACAGGTCGAAGTTATTCTGCAGTCATAGTGAACAACCATATCAGTATTAATAATCAGTATTTAGCTCGGATCACAACACTAACATACCAGTCTTTTGTTTAATACCTTATAATTATCAAAATGATACCCTATGTTAAGATCTCACGAAATGACATTGCTGAAGTTTTTCAAGTCAGATGACGAACCCCGAATATGAAGGTACCCATATCCTGTGTCCTTACTTATTGGAATTAATGTTGTCCAAGGTTGATGAATTGCTGTCTATTGGCTAATACGTTAAGTATATTATCTTTAGTCATATATAAATTAGGATTCATATTTTTATCAGTATTGATATGTAATCTTTAAATGAATAATTTTTCTAAAGTTCTATGGTGATTAATCGTGGAAATTTGGCTTCATCATGTTTTATTCCATCTGGAACTCGTTAATTGGATATTTTGTACATCTCGATGTTGATATCTATTAAAGTAAGACTCATATCTAATATTTTATTTTTTGAATGTTGACATATAGTTCACTCAGTTACTGAATCCATATATAACTATGAATTGGTTCAGTGGTTCTGACTTTGTATATACTGTTAAATGACGACATCGAATTTATCCATTTCCGATGTACATAGACCGTATATTGATAAATTTCTGTCCCTCCTCTCCTCTCTCTCTCTCTCTCTCTCTCTCTCTCTATATATATATATATATATATATATATATATATATATATATATATATAACGGGATAGTACATACCCTAACGACTTATCGAAAACGAAAACTTAGGGATTATTAATTAGTATCAGAAGGGGTTTTATAGTATTATAGTAATTTTAATGATTGAGATCATGAGTAAATCGAAGCTAGACCACCATGGAAAACCTGGAAGCACTGAACGAACGTTTCGTCCCATTGTGGAACTCCTAAGCAGTGTGTATCAACGATCCCGCTCCATGATGTCAACCATTAAGATTACTAATTACTCAATGAAACTGATATTTTGAAAATTATTTTCCATAATATAAATTCTATTTTCCTACTATTTTATTATTATTATCCGTCTTGATAAATTCCTTGAATGTGTTTCCCCCCATTTTTATACAGTTTTCTTTATTTAATAGTATTTAATTACTTCAAAAAATCGTCTTCATCCGTAAATCACAAAGTCTAAGGGGTTGAAGTTCATCAACAGAAAATTCTGGATATTCGTTTTGTTTTAAATGAGACTTATTAACGAGATACATTTTTATTCTTTAGGGAAATGTTGCTCCCCATAAATATTCGATGTTGTTTACTGGAATTCACTCAGCTGACGGGTACTAACTTTTCATGAAAAAATTCTGGTTTCCCTCAATAACTACGTTTGACCATTCAATAAATAAATATTATACATATGACTTTCAGTTACCTTGATTAATGATTATATGGTAAATTGATCGACAGATTTCTAGCAGTATCAAAGGACTATATAAATATGTCATTGTTTATTGCACAGCTTCCAGTTCCTATAAATCAGATCAAATCTATGACATTCCAATGTCACCAGGAGTGTTTAACAACTCAGCCAGTTAATCAAAACTGAATGACACAATTTCAACCATTAACTCTCGCCAAAAATGTCGACTCTTAAGGTTATATATATCAAGGACCTGTACCATACATTACACTATTTACACGAAGAATAAAGGTAGATTCATCCTCATTATGTTTGATTAAATAAATGTTTTTATTTTACAAAAATAGAGAAACTTATTATTTTCAAAAATTCATAAACATATCCAAAGCTTCACTCAACGAACGACGCATGATAATTAGGACGTAGTGGACAACAGTTTCATTGGTAATGAAAATTAGTGACTTCACGAAGTATAGGATACAAAAAATTTAGACCTCACTACTTGAAACATGAAATATTAACAATCTTTACAATACTCTATTATTGATTTTTATGATCAGAATAGGGTTTGTGGAGATTGTAGTAATAATTGAATTACTAGGATTTCTACAAACACCACTCCGGTCATCATCACCATGTATTCACTAGTGACTGGCTCCAAGATGATTTCCTGGAGTTATAGTGAGAAGCCGTAACCGATGCAGTCCAATCCGTATCGGGTAGAGACAAGTATCTACTTCAAACAATAGATAAATAGTTGCGCAACCACTCATCGATCAATTGAAATTATACTTCAACACGGTTATATATAGATAGGCTCAGAGGTCTAGAAGTTAAATGTTATCGTGGCAGACTGAATGTCCTTGGCTTTAGCCCCACATACAAAATCATGCATGCACATTGTTGAGGAGTCCCATACTAAGACGAAACGACCGGCCATTGCTTCCAATTTTTCAACGGTGATCTAGCTTCAATCGACTCATGATCTCAACTATTAAAATTACTTTTTGATTAAATTAATTTTCAGGCAATTGAAATAATAATAATATCTAGAGACGGGAGGGGGGATCGTTTTATGATAGAAATCAAATCATTCCCACATTTATAATTTTGAAAAAAAACTCAGAACATTACAGGGACTTCAACACACATACAAACAAACACAAAATTCATATTCAATACTCTTTGTTTAAATAACCAATCTATTCATAAAAATTAATTTGTAAAGCCAATTTTATTTCTTCTCAAATCCAAAAAAAATTCTTTAGTTTTTAATCCAAAAAAAGGAGAGAAAGAAAGAAAAACTTTACTAAATTTTGATTGGTTATTATAATATTGACGAATGCGAATCATAAATTCACTTAAGAACCAATCAAAATGCTAACGCATTCTAATCACTTTCTACCAATCAGATTAGAGAAAAAAAATTTTCTATTAAATAATTTTTTGGTTGTTGTTGTCGTTGTTATTATTAATATTCCAGGGGTGTAATTATAATAAAATATATTGGTTTATTAATAAACAGATTGATAGTAAGAGAAAGAGAGAGCAAACAAGAGAGGGAGGGAGGAGAGAGTAGATAAAAAGTTGATTCGTTTTTTTTCAGATGTTTAAATTGTTGTGTTGTTACTAAAACATATATTACATTCAATTATTCTAAAATCAACTTATGTAATTGACCTATTCAATTGAATATTAATAAATAACTAGAACTATATAAACTGAATTCTATTCAATATGGATACTATAATGCAAGTTGGAGGATTTTCTAATTTATCTAATTTAATACATATTAATGAAAAGCATAATTTTCATATAACTGAAAGTTCTAATACAACAACTACAACAACTTCCATATCTATGTCAACATTACAAACATCAACAAAATTAACTAAAACCTTAAATCACTATTCTATATTATCAGAAATGAATCAAAGAAATAATTATCATAAATTAAAATTACAAGAACAATATCAATCTAATCAAAATATAAGTGATCATCATCATCATAATAATAATAATAAAAAGGATAAACGAACTAGACACACTGAGGATAATATTCACGATCCATCCTCTATGATCAATAATATAGATAATAGTAATGATAATAGTACTTATGAAAATGATGATCTAAATGTTAAAGATGATGATATGGATGATGATGATGATGATATTGACGATGATATTGATAATAATAATAATAATAATAATAATGGCGATGAAGATAGTGTTGATATTGAACATTCTATTAAGAATTTTAATAATAACAATAATCAAAATATTCATTTATTAAATACTCCAAAATTAATTACACAAATGTATAGAAATACTAGTAGAAAGAAAATTTCACGTTTAGATATAAATAATGAACAATTATATCAGGGAACACCGACGACAACAACGACACTGATGACGACGACAACAACAACAACACCGACAATCACTGATCAATATTCATCAAGTCACGATATTAAACGGATAACAACTTATCCTACATCTAGTAAGTGATTCATAATTCATATATGAATGATAAATTGTTTTTCTTTGTTTTAATGATTAATTCTTTGAAAGATTACATCATCAACTATTATCTTTTAGTTAAACAAAAATCAATTTTAGATCCCCTTGATCCTAATCCATTTAGTAGAATAGATGTACGTTGTAGAAATGTTTTATACTACGATTAAATAGTTATTATTATTATTAGCTTTATTCAATATTATATTTCTGGTATAATATAGAATCCTCAGCATAAAGTATTTCAACAAGTTTTCTTTTCTTATTTCTTGATCGATCGTTGAGATGAATATTGAGTGGTCACCAGTTAGATGTTGGCAGTTCAGGAATCGACATTTGAATAATGTACATTGTTTTCGATGCATATTGTCAGCAACCACGATGTCTTTGATTGGATTCTTTTGTAACTTGTTCAGCGAAATGTCGTAAGCTTTTCACAAACGTACCTGAATAACTTATGCGTCTAATGAGCATAATGATGTGTTAAAAAGACTAGAAAACTGATAACTTGTTGAAATATGCATATGGCAGGAACAGGTAGCCCAGATATTCAAACAGGCCGAATTTCTGATATATAATGGTTGTTTAGTTAAAGTTAGTCTGTGATGTGACTCTATACAAAGATATATATATATATATATATATATATATATATATATATATATATATATATATATATATATATATATATATATATATATATATATGGTAGTTATATATGTAGTTGTAAAATTTAATGCATTTTGTATTGTCTGTTTGAATCTTCCTATTGTTGTTTAAAACTGTAATTGATGAGTCTTTTATTAGCATATGTGTACTTTCAATAGATTGCCTCTATATTCTCTTGCATCACAAGGATTATAAGCACAGGATTCACATATGCCAATAAGAGACACTGATCAATTGCAGTCCTAAACATCAGTGGGAAGATTCAAACAAACAATAGAAAACTGAATTAAAACTCCATACCATTGCACATGCTAGTGGCTTAGTGGATAACGCAATGGTGTTTGAAGCGAACAGTCCTAGATTTGAGTTTCGGAGTGAACATCAACACTAAATTTTAACAAATAGTTTTACAGTATTTGGGCGCCAAGTTGATCTGGGACACTAAAGAGAAAGAATGTATTTTTAAAATCTTAGCGAATGAATTTGAAGTAGGTCCAACGTCAGTCTTGACAATATGATCCAAGCTTTTCCATGGAAATATAATCATATCATATGTAAAAAAAACTTGTATTTTTTCCTAAGAATTCACTAATCAGAGGCAATAAATAACGAATAAAATTTTTTCTCATACCTCAGATCCACTTACGAATACATACCTTTAGTTTCACATCACGTTTCATTTACACTAAAGCAAATACCTATGTTAGACATTGTTAGCATTGATTGGATGACCTATTTAATATACAGTTCACTAGAGAACTGTGTACCTGTTTATATTCGGTAATTTTAATGTTTAATTATAATCCTTTGTAAAAGCTTAATCCAGATTGCCGAATATGAAACGTTGGGTTTACATACATTCTTCCTTCTTAATTCTTAAAAATAAAAGATGGTTTTATATCACAGTAAAACATGAATATTTTTACAGTACTTACTTAATTATGCCTGTTTCTCCCATTGGAGCATAGATAGCCAACCAGCATTCTCCAACCCACTTTGTCCTGGACCTTCCTTTCCAATTCTATCCAGTTGTTGTTTATTCTTTTCATGTCTGTCTATATTTCTCGGAGTAATATATTCTTTAATCTCCCTCTTCTCCCTTGGCCTTGAAGATTCCAAGTGAGGGCTTGCCTCGTGACGCTGTTGAGTAGAGTACTTATGCATACATTTCAAATGAATTGTAATCTGACTTGATTATTAATTTATTTAGCTTAAGGAAGCAACTTACATTCTAGAAATTTCATTCACATAGTTCTCTTTATCATTTTGAAAAGAACAAGAACAAAGATCCTAACAGAATAGTATGAATTCTTGCATTGATTACATCATTGAATTTTTATTTCATTTATCTTCCAGGTTAGTAATCTTATTTTTATCAACTGAGCTTTACTCATTTTATTCCTATCAATGTTTACTCATTATGTAACCACTTGTTTCTGGCCGTTTGATTGCTGTTATAATCAATGCTGTAGAATGTTCTTTCACACAAGTTATATATTTACAGTATTCAGTTTACTCAGATTATTTCCAGCCTTGCTATACTATGCTAGTGTGTCTTTAATATAACTTCCAACTAAACCCTTTCATGAAGTTAATTCAAACCCATTATTTAAATATGATTCTTAAATATCACGAATTGTAAGCAGCTGATGGAAACCGACATTAGGTTATGAAGTACTAAAAATTTAGGCTTTCTGTTCATTAATTGATATATTGTTGGTATATTATTATTATTATTCCAAATATAATTGTGTTTTGCGCTTTTCAGAAGCATAGAAGGTGTGACTTTTCTGATGCTTAACAATACAATGTATTTTTCTAGTAATCTTTGCTCATTACGGCAGAGAAATTATTACTGGGGGGGGGTAAAGGAAAGTGTGTATATTATTAGTGTTTAATCAGTGATCCCTTCAATGTCTTAATTGTGTGTCTTAAGACTATGGAGTGAAAATAGTGAAGTGGAACACAAATTAGGAAACAGATTGATGACATGATGTCAATTAACATAATTCCGATATGTAGTATGTAAATCTAACGACTGTGTTACATTGACTGACGATGTTAGTAGAGGTGATCAGTTCAAAGTATGAAGTCAGTGATTATTGGTTTGAGCTTTGTTGACTAGTTAAGACTTAACTAGTCAAAGTAATTATCATGACCAATAGTTGAAGGTGTTAGTTATCATTTGTAATCTTCCACCCCTTCCCGCTTCAAATCTTAAGTTTAAAAAAATGTTTTGTTACACTTTTCATTATCTAAGAATTCATCTATACATCTTGAATCATATTGTCATTTATACATCATGTTCACTGACATTACTGTTGCTGCTTCTTACATCGACCACTCCAGAATTCGTTGTAATAGTTTCATCTAATTATGTATAGGTTACATGACAACTAGATGATATTTAAATGTGTGTCAGACTCGACATTCCTTATAGCTAACTGGTTTATTCACTAATTAATTCAGAATAATATTCAATCAGTCAGATTTATTTTGAAATCATATATATGAGACTATTTTTGATTAACACGATGATGTAATGACTTAATGATTTAAGATGTAGCGAAAATGACAACTACTCAACCAAATACAACTCACTCCCCACTTTGTATGTACTTAACGTGCACTAAGTCGAAACCTCTTAATCAGTCATAGCCCATAAGAGATATTCTACTCTTTTTCTTCTAAATAGTCAACTTCTAATCTCATATTATTCTAATCAGTGTCAGTGTTCAAATATGTATTTCTCTCTCTCTCTCTCTCACGATATATATATATATATATATATATATATATATATATATATACTTGTTTGAATTTCCCCAGTGGTGTTTAGAACTGCAATAGATTAGTCTACTTAGGTGTATGTGCATTATGTGAGGATTACCTTGATATTATCAGTACATCAAAAGTATTTTAAAACACTGATAGATAGTGGCTAGTAGTGGAATATAGTTTGAGACTCGTCAACTGGACTTACTTTCATTCCAGAGATGATTTTCACTCCGAGACTCAAACTCATCACCATTAGCTTCAAATGACAGTGTTATTGCACTTAGCTACTTAGTTCAAACAATTACTAGCTTGTGAAATGGAACAAATTTTAATTTATAGTTATTCACTATTTGAATCTTCTCATTGAAATTTAAGACTCGAATTGATCAGTCTATTAGTCCTGAATTCCATTGCTAATCACCATCCAACTCTGCTCAAAAATTTACATTTAACTCTTTCTAAACATTATTTCCTTCTTCTCTAAATGGTTTTTAGTGATCTCGTTTATATTACTACAAGAAACTATTATTGTGTAGTTCTGTCGTATTCAAAGTATCATCAAATTTATTTAACTTTCAATCATTATACCGACTATATTTCATCTACTTTAGTTTGAACTAGACAAAAAGATCTTAACATTGACTTTCATCGTAGAATAAATTCATATATACAAAAACTTGTACTTGGGTGAATAAATTACTATCAGATGTGGTTTTGTGGAGACTGATAGATTCTGGGTTCGAATCTCGCGAGGCGGCGTTGTGGATGCGCATTGCCACTGAGAAGTCCCACAATAGGATGAAACGGTCGTCCAGTGCTTTCAGGTTTTATATAATGGTCTAGCTTCATTTGACTCATGATCTCAACTATTTAAATAAATTACATCATTGTTTGGTCTCAAAATCCAAAAACGATTATTATTATTAAATTCACTTGGCATTGTTTGTTTGAATATTCCCATTGATGTTTAGGACTGCAATTGATCAGTCTCTCACCGGCATAAGTGAATACTGTGTGTATTGCCTCGATATAGCCTTAATTCACAAGCATTATATGCAAAGACCAGGTACATCCAGCTGACGAGTCCCAAATAGGACGAAACGTACGTCCTGGATTCCACTGCTAGCCACTATACATCTCTGATTATTATTATTATTATCACCGTTTGATATTCGTTTTTACTGTTGAGATTTGTATATACACTATACAATGATTTCCAATTATCTACACACAATAATTAGATAAGGATCAGAAACAAGAAACCATTGAACAGTTATTACATCATAAGATGAAATGCTTCAACAATAAACATTGAATAACCTACTAGGAGCTGAAAACTCAGTAATATGCGGTTTCATAATCAACGCTTAACTTTCAGATCATTGAGTCTATAATCTCAGTCAATAAACCATAAGTGTACATTCCCGTGAAAGATGTTTGTATTGTACATCCAGCGTGACTGAAAATCACTAGCCATAGCTTCTTAGTAGAACCGAGGCAACTGCCATTTCAAGTTAGTTGCTGGTTGGCACATAATGACTGTT